CACACACACACACACACACACACACTCTGTCTTTCTTTCTCTCCCTCTCCCACTCACCACACCACGAAACGTCAAAAGTCAAGGTCATTTCCCCCCACTCCCCTCGGAGGAGGAGGTCACCTAAATCCGGTTGACATTTGACTATTTACGTTTTACGTTTGGTGTACGCCATGACCTTCCGCCATTACCTGGAGACCTGACAAGCCAGGGAAGGGACCCCAGCGCTGTTTCTTTTGTATGACAAAAAGCCGCACTGAGACACTAACAACAGAGCGGTTTAGAAAAGGGCCGCGCAGCGTAAGATTTTGGGGGAATTCACTGACTGTTATCAGTTAGACCTGAGTCAAAAGATTGGCAGAAACGAGAGATAATCTGATGATTAAACTCCTCAAGAAAGCCGCAGAGATGTCAGCGAAAAGGTTAAACGGTACTTTCAGGCCAAGGGCTAGAATTCAGAGGGCCGCTAGATTGGAAAAGTCAAATAGGTCTAAAGTAAGTAAATGGTACATAGAACTAGTTAAAGTGCACGATACATAGGACTACTCTATGTACTACTCTATGTGTAATGTTATGATAACTGCGCGTCTGTTGTGTAGGGGTATTTACCGTCGCTTATAGGAGACGCCAGTTCGATTCCCCTGTGATGGTGAGAAATTCTATTGAGTACATGTATATTATTATGTATTTCAGTTTTTCTGCTGGGACGTTGTATCTCTCATATCATATGTTGACCCTGACTCATCATCATCAAGTGCCATATCGGCGACAGACATCAGCGATCACTGTTCTCCCTTCATTCCTTTGCTGGGATGAGCTTTAAAAAGCTACATTATCTTGGTCGTTCCCCGTTACCCATCTGTTTTGGTTCTCCAAGTAGGGGTTACTCTGGGCCTGCCCCCGCCTCGTTTGCCTTCAATTTTGCAAGTGAGAACTAGAAGTGCAAGACCTTTATGTCTATTCAGGTGTCCCAAAGACAGAATTTGTCTTTTTCTGATTGTTTTTATCAGAGAGAGAGAGTCCCACGTGGGCTTCGTCAAATATTACCTCAACTGATTTCTTTTCCTTCCAAGATTTGGTTCTAACTAGCAGGGTCGGATTATAGCCTGCCGTGTCAATGATCTAAATAGTGCTGAAGTCAGAGTAAAACTTTTACAATTATATGTTGAGAGTTTTGATTGTCGTACGAAGATCAAAGTGAGTGAGGGAGTTGAAACATTCACTTTGGGGTTGGGAGATTTGCTTGTTTTGTTTGAGTAAAAAGAAGCAAATCGACACAATGATAGTCATTTAGTGCTGGGGAAAAGTAAGACAGACAGACAGAAACAACAGAAGGAAAGAAAAGAATATAGGACCTGCCAGTGGCGCCCTCCAACCACCCGCCAGGGTTGGGGTGAGGATGGGTGAGCGAGGGGATGGAGGAGAATGTGTAGGGGAAAAGAAAGGGGGGGGAGTGCAAGTCCGTGTAGACCCCAAATCATTTTTAAACGCTTATAATCGTGTATTGTCACAAGATCTCTGGACTTTCCCTCAGAGTGACCCCCATGATTACAATTATTGATCTAGTCCACACCGCCGC